CGAGGCCGCTCGGGGCGTTGTGTGTTGTGAGGCCGGGGCCTGCCGCGCCCGCGCGTCTGGCGGCGCGGTCCGCACGGCCCGCGGGGCCCCTGGACTTGCTGTGTGGCTTAAAGCGGTCCCGATTCACAAAAATTGACTCGTTCGGAAGCCGGAGGGAGGCCGTTGTAGCCGCGTGCTCGGGCCGAAGCGGCTGCTGCTCCCGCGGAGCCCACGCGCTAGGCGGCCGACCGGAGTAGAAAGAGCGTTTCAGGCCGGAAGCCGTACCTGAACCTTAGGCTCTTCAAGAGCTGCTTTTCACCGTCTGACAAACGGCCGTTTCCTCAGTTGCACATTAGCTTTGAAATTCTGCAGTCAGACGCTCAGTAGATGATTTTCTCGCATTCTACGCGGAAGAGACTAGAGCAAAGCGTCCAGAAAGCAGACGCTTAAATATGTGCTTCGTACTGGATGACGAGGAAATTAGGGCCGTGTGATAACTTTCTCCATTTAAGGGGACACAATTGCGATACAAATTTTTGTGAATATTTCTTTAAGCTATACGTGAAAGTCCCGTTTTCACCACTCATTGTATTTGTTTTCTCTTCTTTTCCATCGTTTATTTTATTTACTTTCTATTTCTGCTAAAATGATTCTGTATTGAAATTTGACTAGACTCTTTAGGTTGAGAGTGACTCTCACCTCCGTTTTCGTACATAACTTTGAGGTGGCAACACAGAGGACTTTTTGGGATCTGCATCACTTATAAGCCCAGAGCGTTTTGATATTTTTATCCATTTTTTGTCATCCACTCTTAAAGAACATCTGTTTACTTGTAAAGTTTGAGAGGCTGGAATGAACTTTGTAGGCTGAGACTTGGTCGACACAGAACCGTCCACGTATCAGACACCCAAAAAACTGGCATCAACCCACGGGATGGGTATTATTGTGAGCACTGTTTCCAATTTAAGAAATCGGGCCTAGAGAGGACCAAAAAACGTGCCCATGGTCACACACATAATGAGTAACAGAAAGGGAATTGAACCCCTAGTAATTCAGAATTCGTAGCATAAAATATAATCTCTATAGACAAAAAAGAAACATAATTCATGTTAGTGTAACATATATGGCTCAATTTTTCATTATCACTGCCCAAACTTATTTTATTAGTATTTATCATTGCTTTCACGTATACTATGCAACATGCTTCAAAAATTAATTCAAGAAATTAGAATTCTTAAAATTAACTTCTACAATTGGAAATTTTCACTAATTGAAGCATGCCAGAATCTGTTTTGTTAATGAATTGGCTCCTTTCTCTAGTTTTTGCATTTCCTAATATAATCATCCCTTAGTTTTATGTGTAGATAGAGCACATTATTGAAACATGATTTAAGAGGACTTTAAAATGCATTTATGAGAGTTTTTTGCCTTTTTAATAAAATATTTACTTTCCAGTTATGTTTTGCCCAATTATAATCTTTATGAAAGCCCGATGATCCCAAAAGTATATTTAATGTAGAATGAAAAATATACTGCACGTAATCCTCTGGTATGCATGAAAGTAACTGGTTAAGTTTTACCTAAAATATCTGTGGCCATGTTACCTTCTTAAACCTAAAGACTTTATAATTCACAATTAACAGATTTAAACATGTATCCTTAAATGTCAAGACTGATATCTTACTTGTAATTCTTTTATGTCATCAAAGTAGTCAAAACCTTTAAACAATGTTTTCTAATTATGAATGAGCAGCTTAAATTCCTTCACAGGTGGATAAAATAAATTTCATTTTTATTGCTCCTTTGTTATCCATTATAACTAAATTTTTTAAAGGGAGAAAAAAGAATTGACAAATGTTGACCCAAATTCTATAACATAGGCTATTGGAATACTTTTAACCTCTAGCTACATTTCCACATATAAGTGGAACATAAATGTGTAAGGTATAAGTTACTATTAAGAACTATTTGCAGTCAGAATTTTGTCATGTGATTATTTATACTTTGCTTTAAGATGAACAACAAGAATTCAATATTGCATAAGCAATTTGGCAACTGATAATGCTGCTTTCTGCTTATCCCTTTGTTTTCTTGGAATAAATATTTACTTTCTGATGAGGTAGTTTATCAACCAGGCCCAAGGGAAGGCTGTAGATAAAGAGAATGACATGTGAAGACTCAATAAATGTGTAAAAACAGAGAGAGAGAATGGACGTACCCATACTCCTGTCATCGTCATACTTTCTTTAGTTTTATCTCTTTCTTTTTCATCATGACATTCCTAAACCGTTCCATAAAATGTTGCTGTTTCTACAAATTGTTACTATTTTCTAATTCTCCATCCTCCATAGACCTTATAATAGTAATTATAAATTGAGGCAAAAAGAATAGAAATAGAAAGTTTTGAAAATATTTTCATACAAAAAAATCTTTGTAACTATGAATCGTCAGCACTGGGTGCGGCAGTATAATTAATCAGCAACATAGTAATTATATTTGTATATGCAACTATCATACTTCTGCAACCTCAGATATTTTTTCTTTCGGAATGCTCTTGTTTTTCTGTGTCTTACATCACAATTCCCTATGAATTTTATATGTGTTTTCAATAGACATGTCTCTCCAAATTTGAGGGAGGGGGTAATAATGGCCACCAGAGAAAATAGCTATGCAAGGCTGCTTGTAATTAAGTGGATTCTCACCCTGTCTGGCCCCGTTCTTTTCAATAGACCGCGAGTCCCCTAGAAGTTATTCATCCACTTTGACTGATTTGGGGAGAAGTGCACCAAGGGAAAGAAGAGGTACTCCAGAAAAAGAGGTAGTTAACTTCATGGCATTGCAGTCTTTTACGACATACTTGATAAGGCACCTGCCTGCCAAGTTTATATCCCAAGTTATAGAAAGAACCTAAGCGGAAAATGTGAAAATAGCAACGGAGAAACTAGGAGCCACTTTCTGGAAACCCAAGCATAGCCACTCTGACCCTGGAAGCTGTCTACGCCGTGACCTGGTCCCAGGGCTTCCCCAGGTGTGGTCCGGTCTTGGCCATGAGGCCTCTCAGAACCTTGACCTGACACCCATGAATGACCAGTTGTGGTCTCAAAGAGTCCTGAGTTGAGCCACCTCGTAGATGGAGGTTTGCTCTGTACAATTTTCCGGCCTGCTGATCTAGGAGAAAGTCCTAGGTTGACCGTGTTGCAAATCAATACAAATTCCACGTAAATAACTTTTGCTGGCTTACTTTGTTGGAGTGGATCCCTGAAAAAAGCTTTTAACCAGACCAGTTCTTGGAGGCACTGCCCCTGGGAGCCAGGTGCCAACTGATTTTTCGTCTGTGGCCCTGAAGTGGGGCTAGAGTTCTTCTCAAACTGCCTTGGAGCCATGGGGGACTGATGGAAGCTGAAAGCTGGACCTGGACAGGCGGCCACTTCATCAGGGACTTACAAGTGTCTGATATAGTCCAATGCCTGTGGGACCACCCCCCACAAAGAAGTCAGGAATGGTTCAGGATTCCTGAAGCTCACCAGAGTCACAGGGAAGGAGAATGGGGTGAAGGAGTTACTGGTTGGTGGGGGAGGAAGAGCTTGCTAGAGGGTAAGGGTGCCTCAGGGAGATTTGCAGGCCCCAAAGTTTGAGGTGTGTGTCACATCATGTCATGACTAAAAGATGAGCAGCTGGTTGACAGTGTACTGAAGGATTCCTGAACCCTTCAGGAAGTGCAGGACGATCGTGCCTATACTATTGGCCACTGATTAGCCTCCTAGTGATAACTGGACTAATATTTATTTGCTAATATGTTCATAAGTGTTTAGAAGGGGTTGCTGATTGCCTTCATGACTTCTGGTCCATGATTCAGAAGGAGTTGTATCAATTCACAGAACACGGAACAACTGACCCTCCACAGCTATCCCAGCAAAAGCCTTTGTAACAATCAAAATGACACCTAGGACAGAATCCTCGGCAGGCATTAACCTTAACCATTATGGCATTAATCTACCTTAGTGATCAAGCTGAAATACGATGGTGAATAGGGCTATTATTTTCCTGTTATTGCTTCAATATCTAAATGCAGAACTATTTGGTTTATTTGTAAATTGAATGTAGGGTTTATATTACATGTGTTTTATGCTTTGAGGTTTCATTTTTCATTCATGCATGTGAAACTTGTAAGAAATCCAAATTTTAAGTTAGTGCTAATTGTTTATCTTTCTTTTCAGAAATTGCCTGCAAAAGCTGTCTATGATTTTAAGGCTCAGACATCTAAGTAAGTAAACTAAGTATTCATCATATGATTTAAGTTGGCTTTAAATATGTTAAGTAATGCTTTAAGAGAGCAATACCACGATGAAATGTGTTACAAATAAGGCCTAATCCTTAATCTGGCAGTCTACTCTAATGAAATGATTCCTCTGGAATTAATTGGGATGGGATAATTTTATTTTATAACTTTGAGTTTAGTTGAGAAGCACCAAGTTTTAAATTATGTTAAACATGTTAGATAGAATACATCAAGTTCAAAAGAACAGGAAGAACAAAAAGAAATTAAGAATCTTTGTTTCTAGAATCTTTGTGTCAAGAAAAAATTAAAGTGTTAGGAAGTAATTCATCCTAATTGGGAGAATTTGGTAACATTTATTTATCTAGCTACATCAAGGATAGTTTGTGGAGTATATGACTAGAACTGAATACAAAGCTTCCTGTAGTAAAATTTCCATCCTTTAATTTTCAAAACTTCAAGATTCTGAGCAAAGTTCTCTTCTTCTGTTGGTGTTGGTGTTTTTACATTCTTGTGTTGCAGTATTTCTTTTACCTCTAATTCTTCAGAAATTTGTTCATCAGTCAGACATGTGGTTGAGGAAGGTTAGCACGTGACTAGACTCCAGTTAGAGGGAGCTGTCCAGATTTTCAGATTTTTCATGGCCCGTCGGCACAAACCTTATTTAAGAAACTTTGGTCTCATGTAGAATTCAAGATAGATATTGAACTTGTTGTGCATTCCCACTAAATTATTCTGTCGCTTAAACTGAGAATATACATAATAACCAAAACAATGTATTCATAAGAATGCATAAACTATGAATTAACAGTTCCAGAAACTGTCTCCAAGAAAAGACATGTAAAAAAATAAAATCACGTAAATTTGGTAATGCTGTTGAGATAACAAATGAATGGAATAACCAAAAGTTGGCCCAAACATTACCTGTATGATGACCACTTATCGACCTTATCCTGAATTGTACCCCACATCTTTAAAGTGAATTTGTTTGAAAAGAATGAATGAAATAAGAAAAATGCAATTTAGAAACTAAGATGTCAAACATGGCGTAAATTCTGCATAAAAATAAAATAATGAATTAAGAAGAGCTCATATCTTTCTTTAGATTAATAAATGACATTGCTTTATTTCTACTGCATTCTGGTCCTAATTCAGACATAGTGTGCCAATTTGTACAACACATGCAAGTAAGTTTTCTAACTATAAATTTTCTAAAGATAATGTACAGTACATACATTTCATTTCTTCTTTGTGACAGTCAAAATCTTCCTTAAATACTTAAAACCCTGAGGAATGACAGGGGATATAAACATAGGAAGGGCATCCACTCGAGGCTTACAAGGTGTTTTGCCAAGTCTTAGAAACGAAGACAAGCTTTGCAGAGGAAGACGGCTTGCCAGGAAGAGGAGAGGAGTCAGGTGCGGATTTTGAACAGGGTTTTGAGTCTCCAGCCACTCACCCTCCCGAACAGCCACTTAGGGAACAGCTCTTACGGAGAGCACCTCCCGAACAGCTCTTATGGAGAGGTTCAAGGAAACTCTGCCACGGGCTGTCCGTACCATCCCCACCTTTCACCAAGGTCACAACTAAGATTTTATAAATCAACAATATCTAATTGTATTAACCCTCAGAGAAGTAGATTAAATAACTACCCGTGGAAACCACCTCACAATTTTAGGGAGAAAAAAATGTTTTTCTCATACTGTAAATGAATTGATCTTATTGCCCCTTAATCCTCTTGTTCTGTTCTCAGGAAATGTAAAGAGCAGTCCTCTGTCATCCCTGATGTAGGGACATATCTGACACACAGATGGGGGCAACCAGCGACATGGTGCAGCTTTAAAAGGCTCACACACCCAGACAGCATTGAGTGATATATGGGCAAGCCACCTTTTTAAGGCCATTTCATTTAATAGTGAGATGTCTGTGAACTTTTTGTGACTGACCTCTTGTGAACAAGATACAGATATAAGACAAATATGCCTTAAATATATATCTGTTTTAAAAGCTGTTTTCTTAACCTAATTCAAGAAAGTGTAATAATTTTTAAAATACAGTTAGGTAACTTGCCCAATATAATGTTTCAATTTTTACCTAGTAAAAAGAGATAAAATGTCCTTTCCAAAGATTGTCAATGGCCACTATTCTAAAGTGGGGGAGAAAAGGCAAACTTACCAAAATGAGACTCCTAAAAATTCTGGGTCTGAGATGAGAGGGACACAGTTTTGCATACTGGAGAGTGTGGCAACTTTGCTTTTTCTAGATGACGTCAACATTTTAAATGCAAGCCTATACAAATACAAAAGATTTGATATGTAAAAGAAAAAAAAAAAGCTGTCCCTCATTCACATGTATATTCAACAAAAAGAAAAAAAAAACTAGCCTCATTTCCAGAAACAAAGCATGCCTAGTACAAATAAAACTGTTGGATTGTAGATATTAACTCTCATGAGTTTTGTTTTTGCTCTTTACATCAGGCATTTGCATGAGAGAAGGACATACTGTGTTTGAATGTAAAGCTCTGTGAATTTGCTTAGTTTTTAGGATTACTGAAAATTTCAGTAATAAAGATTAAAAACTTTCAGTTGTAAAGATTTTAGTACTTCCAGATGTGTAATAATCCTTTTAATATGCAACTATTTTTTTCATTTAATTTTTTGAATCAATGAGAAATATTCTACATCTGATATAAACTTCTCTCCATCATATATTCTTCACTAATAAATGATCCAACATAAAATTCTGAACTAAACAATGCAGAAGAGTCCAGGAGTGAGAAGGCAGATGTGTAGGAAAGTTGAGTTCTTGGGGAGAGATGTCAGCTAATTGCCCTCCATCAGAGAGTAATTGTGGAGGCAAAATGACGTACCAACATAATTACCTGGGCGACGGTAGCTTGGAATAACTGATGTAGTTAGGGTGATACATTTAGGCATGAATTATTCAAAATAAATAATTTCTTTACGATTTAAAATCAGAAATGCCCAAATGTACCCACATTTTTTTTAGAAACTGCTACAATGGAAAAATATAGGTAATGTCTTAAAAATATTTTTTTAAAAACAGAAAACATAAAGAAGACAAGCTGTGTGTACATGTCTTTGCCCTTAAAACATATTTATCTTGGTACCTCATTGAAAAACAAAAGTGTGAGGCCTTTTCTGTGACACAGATGGAAGTCCTTATCAAGATAGTCTATTTAGATACCTGTCCACTAACTTCAAAGATCCACACATGAAGTTGTTTTTTCTGGTGTGAGCCCTTCTGTTCGGAGGCTGTGTGCACTTGTCTTCCTTATTGTATGTAAGCTTTAGAACGTCAACTAGGGTTGGGAATTGGGAACTCACCAGCTAACTAGTTTCAGGACAGAAAAATCGGTACAGAACTGACGCATCAATTTGCCAGCCTTCACAGTCCTGACCTACCTAGGCTTCAGAGACGTCTTAACACTGGAAGTACACTGCCCAGACAAATGCAGATCTAGTGAGGGTGTTGATCTCAAGAATAATTGCTGTACATCTAGATAAAGACCATTTAAACGCGTCTCTTCCAGGGAGTTGTCATTTAAGAAGGGAGATACCGTCTACATCCTCAGGAAAATTGATCAAAATTGGTATGAGGGAGAGCACCACGGACGAGTGGGCATTTTCCCAATCTCGTATGTAGAGGTGAGTCCTTCCCCCTTCCTTCTTGAATGGTAGTTGGTTCTAAAGTGGCCACAGGTGCAAGAGTAAGTGGTTGTTTTTGTTCCTAGAAACTCGCACCTCCTGAAAAAGCCCAACCTGCCAGACCGCCTCCCCCAGCTCAGCCTGGAGAAATCGGAGAAGCTATAGCCAAATATAATTTCAACGCAGACACAAATGTGGAGCTGTCACTGAGAAAGGTAGCCTGCCTGTTTTCTTCACTGGTGCATTTGAAAAGGACTGTCCATTTTTAAAACTAAAATTCTTTTTTGTCCTTAAGACATTTTTTTGTTTTCCCCGTTTTCTACAAAGGGCTCCTAAGGCCGCCCTGCATCCTTTCAGCTGAGGTCTCCTGAGGGACACCAGACTTCTCTGAGAGTCTCCCTCTGTAACTTGGCCTGGGTGGCCAGCCTCAAGTCCTCTCCACATAATTAGACATGTGGAGGTGGCAGAAGGAAAAAGCACTTTCATACGCTTCAAAATATTGTTGTGCTGCCTTATTAATCAGCCTTTTAAAAACGAAATGTTCCAATACTTCCTCTTTTCGATCTTCATCAAGAAATGGCCCTTTAAAGTTTCAAGAAAGTTTATTCATTTTTAAAATACAGCGAAGTAGCTTGCCCAACGTAATGTTTCGATTTTTACACAGTAAAACAAGATAAAATGTCCTTCCCAAAGAAGGTCAATGCCTCTAAAGTGGGAGAGAAAAGGCAAACTTAGCAAAACGAGGCTCTTAAAAATTCTGGGCTAAAAACGGCTGTGGTGATCTTTCCTCTCTGGAGAGCCTTGGTGAAGTGTGTGCAAGCCCTTTCCTTGATCACCCTTCTTCAGGTTTCATGATTGACCCAAAGTTCTCTACCAGCCTATCCAGTTCTGGTATCTTGTCTTAACAATCTCAGAAATGACTCTTTTCATCGTCAGTTTACATAGTTGAGAACGACAGTGAACGATTCTGATTGTTTGCTAAACGATGACATATATTTGTTGAGGTAACCTCTTGTCTGCACATGACACAGACTAGATAGTGGTAATATGTGGGTGGTTCTGGGAACTTCCATATGCCTCCCGAAGGGAAATATCCACAGTTCTGGGTCGTTCTGGTCCTGGCAGAATCTTGTCTCATTTTCTCCCTTTGGAGAGAATTCTGCATCATCAGCTGATCCTTCTACCCTCTGGGCTGCACCACCCAGCACAGAGACCCCACAGCATTACATGAACTCTGACATTTTCTGTTTCATGCTTTACAGAAAGCCTTCACCAGTGCATTAGTGTAGCTCAGCCTAGCAATTGCCTATTCTTGGTGTATTTGAAAATCAGTTCAATTTTAAGGTCTGAAGGTTTTCTTCAGTATGTTCTGCTCAGTGGTGGTGAAACACATTGAATAAATCATCCAGCATTTTGACCAAAAAAGAATTTTCAGGCATGTAGAATGGTATAATGAACATTGGAGATTCAGAAAGTGGGGCGTGGTAAGGGAGGAGAGATGAAAAATTACCTGTCGGGTACAGTGTGCATTAGTGGGGTTGATGGGTATGCTTAAAGTCCAGACTTCTTCATCTGTAAGATGCACTGTCCAAACTTCTGTGTCCCCCGCTGGATGCAGCCGCACCTGTTGCTGTTTAACCATCACATGCCTACTTATCTCCGGGCTATTTGTGGTTTTAAGTTAAAATTTAGACTGGATTCTGTGGCATTGGCTTAGTCACTACAGGTAACAGGAATAATGATTCTAGAAAATTATATGATCACAAACCAAGAGTTCTATTCAAAATATTTAATAACCCATATGGCCTGGCCACCAAGCAATCAGAATGGACAATTACACTGTCCTGATGTGAACCAGAGAGGGGTGTCAGTCCTGGCCACAGCTATAGATATTTTGGGATGATCTGTTTGCCTGGATCCTTTTAGTTCACTCTTTGTCGCTACATGTAGCACATGTAGATTAAAGAAGATTTAACATTATTCCTTCTAAAGGTTGATTCTGCAACCATGTCAGACACAGCAAGCTGTGGTGCACTTGTGAAAGCTCTTCCTACAGAAGGTCCATGCACTGAATCTGTCAGAGATAGGATAATGCTACTGTTATAAAAACGTCACCTCTTTCACTCTTCTGCTTTTTGAAATAACGTGCACAAGTCATTTAACACAGTACCGGTATAAACATTCACGTTAACCAAGCATTCTTAGGAAAGACTCAAATGTTGTGAATGGATGATTTAATTGCATATGTGTTGATAATCTATATTTTCTAGTAAGCACTAGGACCTTACTTGCATGCCAGTGATTAAACAAAAACTGGAGTTATAAAACTTTCCTAAGTAGAAAACTATTGTTTATTAGAAAACAGTGCCAATTATATTTTTATATTATTGTATCTTTATTTATAATGCATTTTTCTAATATTCATTATAGGGAGATAGAGTTATTCTTCTTAAAAGAGTTGATCAAAACTGGTATGAAGGTAAAATCCCAGGAACCAACAGACAAGGCATCTTCCCCGTTTCCTATGTAGAGGTCGTCAAGAAGAACACAAAGGGTGCTGATGATTACCCTGACCCTCCAATACCCCACAGCTATTCTAGTGATAGAATTCACAGCTCAAGTTCAAATAAGGTAAGAAGATATTCTGTCATATTAATATGATTATTTGGGAGCTCAGAATAAGATAATCAGTATATGACTTTAGGATATTATAGAACATCACATCTATTGCAGAGAAAGAGATTTGTACATATTTTGTTTCTATATGTGTAAGTGCAATGTCAATAAATATAATTTAATTTTTCTCAAATAAGTGCTGGAATAAATACTGCTTGATTTTGCTAATTTTATTTTCATGTTAAATTATTGAAAAAGGAAGGGAAAACATTTGTTTCATAAAACATATAAATGATATATATTTGTATTTATATGTATATAAATGCTTTCTGAAACTTGATTTATTTCTGAAGCTTGATTTATATATGTAAATTTTATTTGTATGATTATACATAAAGTATATACATATATATACAATTGCAATTTATATGTGCAAATACATATAAATATATACAACATAAAATACTATATATATTCCCAAATGGAATATATCTCAAGACACATGGTTATTAGGAAAATTCTATAAAAGTCTCAGAGATTTTGTATATAGAAAGAGACCTAGAGCAAAATGTTTAATTAAGGTCTGGAGGTTGGTTTGTTTGTCAGTGTGAATGAAACTGCTGTATGTTATTAGAAGTCTTCAAGTTTATTTTATTGTTTTTAAGATAATTATATGCAGTTCTCACGTTTGACTTGAGCTAGTAGCTAAAGATGATTATCTTTCTCAATATGTAATTTAAAAGACACTTTGCTTCCTTAATTAATTAGAAAATACTGTTCTACTTTCTACATTCACAATGTGAATCTTTTTCTTATTTTTCTGTTGAATTATAATATATTCTTTTTATGGGTGATATCTGGGGATTTTTTTCTTATTCTCATTAACATCAAAGAATAAAAATTTTAATTACCAAGAAATTGCTTCCAAAATATTGTGGGTACTTCCCAACATTTTAAGAAATATATTAAGTTGCATAATTTATGAATGATTTTAATTGAGATCAGAGCTGGGACATGGGAAAATAAACTTTCTAGCGCTAGTAAAATAAAATCAACACATCAGACATTACTAAAGTGTGAAGTCACTTCGTATTTCAATGCAAGATCATTTCAAGAATGTCCCCTGTGACCTAAACTACTTGAAAATGAGTCATAGAAGGACTTTGCATAAGTAAATTATCTAAGAATCTACTATCTTAAGAGATACTTTTTTAATGGGATAAGGCTATGCATTTTCTTTTTTGTAATCTTTGAAGACTGGATTTCAGTCCAAATAATTACCCTTAATCATGTATCATTGAATAAATGGAACAGTTTGGTACAATTAAATTTTGTTTAACTGATTATAAACTTATCCAGAATTTTCTGAAGTTTATTTACTTTACTACCAAAGCTTAACATTTATATATCAATATCTTTCCCTCAGTAGTTTCACCCATATATCTGTTCTCATCCATATATTTGTCTTATTCACCATTCAGTCATCTTAAAAGAACTATCAGAGAAATTCCACAACATTTTCAGTAAAATAAGTAGGAAAACCATGTATCTACAAAGGTTTATTTAATACCTAAGAAATGTTTCCAACATGCCCAAATTAACAACGGCATTATAATATTTTAGATCACAATACTTTCATCTTCAGTGTAAATATAATTTAAATGTAATCAAATATACTTTTCAGTTTTTTGGTTTTTTTTTTTTACAAAACCAGATTTTAAATAGAGGAATGTACAGATTTCACTAGTAACTAATCAGTGTTTTATTCTCACTGTTGGGAACAAAATATGTTGAAAAACTTATGTTCATAATTGGAAAGAAATACTTCATGTTTTATCCTAACTGGTAATTCATGTACTGATGTCAAGGAGACGTCTCGGTAGCGTTACACTGCATCATTTTCAGAAAAACAAATACCATATACTTCTAAATGACGATATCCAAAATATACTAAATAGTATATGTCCTGTTTTTTTTTTACTGATATTTACAAATAGAGGAAAGAACTCATTGACGATGATTTATGAGTCACTTGCTGACACATTCAGATCACATGTCTTGGCATATTGTCTTTATCTTAGGGGAGACTCACATGAAAGTTGATATCACTTCTGATATTTTTACTTTTAGTACAACAGAGTCCAATTCTAAAGCTTTTGGAAGCCAAGAAAATTGTATGACTTTTGTATTCTAGGTATATTTTTGTGACACCAGGATACTGAATTTGACTTCCAGTATATAAGCAAGTCCGTTGTAAAGCTAAGCACTTTAACATGTATACTGGTGACTGTGGTGGCAGTGGCACGAGAATAGTAGCAGCGGGTAGCAATAGTGACAGTGGTAGTGATGATTATATTGGAATATAATGATCTTTCTTTCTCATCAATGTAATATTCCTGCCCACGAGAGAAAGTGAAGATGAAAACGAATGATCTTTAAGTATTATATATGTCCCAGACTTTCAAAATCTAACTATCAAAAACTTCTGTGTCATATAACAAAGAGCATACAATAGAACTCTAGCCAATAGAGAACTTTTATAGACTATCACATGAGTCTAAAGTAGTTTATATCTCATTAAAAACTCAACATCTGCAGGACTTCATGGGAGTGACTGTCTACCCAAGCACAAGCCACATGAACAATTTCACTTTGTGTCAGGAGCTAAGCGGCCTTGAGTCCTGAATCTTATGTTAAGATGTTCACATGAGTTTTGTGGCACATTTATGTCATGCCATGATGAGACGACCTTCTTTAAAAAGCTAAATTAACTAAGCCAATGCCCCATTCCCATTATAGGACACAGAAATCAAAAGTTAGTGGGGAATGCACTGTGCACGTATGCATTCAAAGGCCCCAGGACCAAGAGTGCTGGCTCCACTGTCCTAAACCACCAGCTAGAAAGTGCAACCCCAGAATCTTTTTGAAGAAGTGTTTCTTTCCAAATCAAGGTCATCTCTCTGGAAAGAGCTAAAGTGGAAGCTTGTCCAGCAACCTTTCTCAAGGCTTTTATGCACAATAGCATTTTCTCTATTCCAGCAAGGATAGATAAATGCATTAGAATGTTAGTAGGTGGACTTCCAAAGCTACTTTTAATAAATCTGCTAAAAATTTAAATGTACTGTTTTGTTTAATGTATCTAAAATACATTGATAATATTAAACTATACAGAAGTGTATTTTCACTTCTGGAGATACGCTTCATCGGTCATACCTCCTCAAGTTTACATAAATGTCAAGCTTTTGAGAGAGCATGGGAGTCTCAGCAGAAGTTTACTCTCCCGTTAGCATCAGATGAGCCTTTCTATGTAAACATTTAGTTTAGATTTTTAAAGCTTTGAAGCAGCAATTCTTTAAGCTCAGTTTCGTACTGATCATGAGTTTCTGTTCTTGAAAAATATTTTTCAGAACTTATTCTGAAAAATAAGTTGTATAATGTTATTGTATAAGGTTCTAAAATATTTTATGCCCTATGTTCTAATCTCCTTACAAACATAAGTGAAAAAACTGTGGAAGTTCAAAAGATTGGACATGCTGCTGAAAGAAAGAATGCTAAACGAATTCAGGAAATAAAAAAGGCTTTTAACGATTAATTTTCATTCTACATTAACATTTCTTCAGAGTCATTTATACTACTAAATCAGTATCTGGAAACCTGAAATATCTTTTCAACATAGTTTAAAAGAGGTAGACTACTAAACTTCTTAAGGTTCCACTGTCTGTCCTTGTAATCTCTATGACAGTTTTATCTTGTTTGACATATAAGATCCCTTCCAAAATTAGTAGAGTTTCGTTTTTGAGGTAATTTTTCCAACTAACGGAAATTATTTTGTGCAGTTACATTTCAGCAAAATATCTTCACATCTAGATAGCTTCAAGATGTCTTCCAATCTCTGTCTCTGTTATAACATACAATTATTTTTATATTCACTACCACATCTTTCCTGCATTTCTCCATCTCTGTGTTTTGATACGTCATTATTATTTTCTTGGTTTTTTTTTTTTAACTTCATAATCCCTGCTGGTTTCTAAGTTGGCCTCCAGTGAACCAGGCCCTCCTCCCATGCACAAAGCTTCACCTGGCTCAGATAAAGGAGCTCTCCAGAGAATTACCCGGGGGCAGCTGTCCCTGACAGCCCTGTGTCCACCAGCAAACCTTTTGGCCCCAACACTGTCTCCTTTTCTGGACAACTTCTTGGCTGAATTAGAGGAGTTGAGCACTTTAACCTTCTCAGCTGACCAAGCTGCACCCTGTACCCCAGAGGAGATCGCCCTCGAAATTCAGGAGGAACCCTCTGTACTCCTGTTGCCTCCAGCATCCATACCTGCCGAATCACCACACTCTCTGGTCCCTTCTCTTCACGGGGGCCTGGTCTCAGCTGCAGCCCAGCCTAACAATGCTGTGCCTTTTCAGGATCCTATAAAAACAACTCAAAACAAAGTGACAGATTTGAAACAAATGAGAACGGGCTTTTCAGGCCCCAAGAAGGTGCCTGAAGTCCTAGGCGATAAGTTTGTGGCCTCTGCATGCACCAGTGTAGCTTCCTGGCCCATCTCCCTCCCCATCATTGGAGAAGAAGATGAGGAACTCTGTGAAGGGGTTGCGTCAGGCATCCAGAGAGGGCTGCTGGAATCCCAAGATGCCTTGTGGTGCAGCCACGATGGTGCAGAGAAGACCCCACGACTGCACATTGAAGAGGAGGAAGAGGAGGAGACACCCAACTGCTTAATATATCCAGTAGTCGTGGGCGCCCCCACAGATCCTAAGATCCCCAAGGAGGGCTGCAGTACAGCAAAAACCAGTAATGAGGTATTTTAATTTTGCCTAATTAGTGAAGAACTAACCAGTCTTCCTATAGTTAGCCTGCACAGTTAATCATATTGGTAAGCATCTATTTTGACACAACCTTAACAGATCTTCTTACAAAAACACAAGCATTGTATAAGTCAGGGGTGGAGGGGGAGTGTGAAAATACACCGCATTTAATTAAATGATGTAAATATATGCCATCATGC